TAGGTGAACCGGAACAGTATTATTGTATAATACTGTATAAGTAGTACCCTAACCGTTGTGTATTTAACTTGAATTTTGCTACAACAGGCTCCGTTCTCAACTATGGGTCATCCTTAACCTGGGGACTCCCTGTAGGAAACTGCCTTAATATGTTTTTCCTATTACAGCTTCCGGTAAGGATGCTTCGCCTCTCCTAGGCTCCACTGCTAGCAAGTGAAAAGTATCTGCAGACTAAGAGCAACGAACTCTTTGACCGTAACATTTATTGGAGTGACCAATTTACTTCTGATTTGCAGCAGTGCGTTATTAATACATATTACTGATCAGGGTTTGAATTGAAGGGAGATGATTTTCAAGAATTTGGTAAGTTTCTTTGAGTAGTTTAGTCTTTCTCTCCATTTTTCCTTCCTTTCCTGTCCCTTTTTATTTATACGTTAGTTTTTAGCTTGTTAATTGACCTCAAGCTATAATACTTGAAAGGTGCTGACGTTTCTGCTTTTGTGGCGTTGTGGGAGGGGTTTGTGTCAAAAAGTCGAAATGGCAGTTGTGACGGTGTGCTTGAAGCCCCGCCCCTTTCGTCCGTGCATCAGTGTGGCACACCCGTGCACAGCAGCAGGGCTTCTATGGCTCTGCCGAAACCGCCATCTTGACTTTCCTGACTCCCCGCGAACGCCACTGTTCTGTTTGCGCTTTCCCTTTGCGCTTCTCATTTAAGGGTACGGCGCTGAAGAAAACATTATTTAACTTCGGCCGGCCGGCCGGCCCGGTGTCTGCATTCCACAGCACAATCGTTCCAAGTTTCCTCAGCCACTGGGCCTCTGCTTTGTAAATACGCCCTCGCCTCTGAAGGCGGACACGACGTTCGCCTCTCCTGGCAGCCACGCCGGGAGGACCCGTGAGATCTGCTCCTCAGGTGGGCCCAACGTGGCTCCACCCCAAAACAATCCACGCAGACTGGCGAGACAGGGGAAAGATTCTGGGCTAACACTCTCCACAATCAGTTACGTTTCTGCAGTCTTCATCACACTGCGCTTCCTCCTCCTTTTCTCTACCGAGAAACGCATGAGAAGGTTGTCGTGCGCTGCCCTGGCACAGAGCAGCCAGGAATCAACGTGGAGACTTCCTGCCGCTCTGTGAGTCGCAGGTTCACCACCTCCAAATACCAAGCTGGGTTCCTCCCACAGAAGTTTGAAGACAGCTTCCAGGAACCTCCAAGGTTGAGAACCAATTCTACTTTTTAATGTGGAAGAGCAGAAAATAACCATATTAGCTGTATTCTTAACAGTTAATTAAATGTAAATGAAATTTAGCTTTTGTTCAGGACCCAGCCACTACCTCAAGAATCCTCAGTATGCAAAGAGGAGCTCTTCCCGATGTCAGTGAAAAGACAGGAAGGATCAACAGAGACACACTGTATGCGTGACTCTTCAGGAACCCTTTTGCCTAATTTTCCCAAATTACTATTAGGGTAGTCACTTTTAGTAATTAGTAGAAACTAAAACTACACTGACAAAACGTACGTGGCACTATTTGTAATAGTTTCTCCTTTCGAAACAAGATCACACACTTTTGTTCACATCTCCTCCGTAACTGACATTACACGTGATGGGACGGTACAAACGAGAACATTTGTGACTCATAAGTCCTCACTTCTGGTGGGTCACCCGTGTTTCCAGAAACTGTTTATTATTAGCGTGCGCCCCCTGGTGGGTCAGATGAAAATAATGAAAGCAGGCGCTTCTCAGCCCGAAGCATCTGAACCCGGGTAGACAACGCTAGTCTTCTACAGATGCATTCGAACAGCAGCATAACTACAGGCTTTGTGAGGTTGGATGGACTCGGGAGAAGCAGATCACTACATCTTAACTGTCTCTGTTAACCCTAACCCTTTTCTGGTATAGCAATATCCTATTATTCATGCCACTTTGCAACCTTTGTCAAACTTGACTCATCTTAAAAGAGGGTCCCAACTGGCTAGCACTTGGGTGGGAGCCAACCAAGTCATCTCTTGACAAGGAAACTACATGGACATATCCACCTACCAGCACAAGTTAACTTAAAGGAATCTTTCCTTTAATTATGTACAACACCTACACCATGTTCCCTCTGATTCTTTTAGCTCGAGATGAGGAATTGAACCTCCAATTTTCTGCAGGTGAAGGAAGACAACTTCTAATTAATATGAATCCCACCAGGTTTTCAAAGATTTGAGGGTTAGAGATGGCTGATGGCACATCAAGTTCCTCATCCATCATGCAACGCAGTCCTTGGAAATCACTGCTGTGTAGTGCCAGGGAGAAGCAACTGGTGCTCCTCTGAGGCCATTTCACGGGAGGCCCTCTGATACGATGAATATATTCAGGGCTGTCATTGATTTGACATACAGAAAACATACAGACACTCCTTTGTTACATATCTTGCAGCAATGGCTAATGTGCAACCACAGACTGTACAGAAGAGTAGAATTATGCAACAGAAGTTTCTGCGATCAGATTTTTCCTATTTATCCTTGTATGCAGAGCTGTCCTAATTCATTTGTCCCTGGTCCATATTATACCCCAATTCCTGTGGGTCACAGAAAAATAACTGACTCACGCCACTCTGGAAAGAAAAATAAAGGCAAAAGTAGTTGCCACTAAACCTGAATCCACACCATATATAATGGGAGATATTTTGAACGTCCCAAAAGGCCTGCAAAAATTAGAGGTGAATACATTTCCCTTTCACCATTTAACCTATGGAGCGTTTGCACATATATGGCCTTTCAGCTCAGCTGTCTCATGTTTTTTAAGACAGTTCATTGGGACCTCATTAAACATTTTGGCCTGCAAAAACACCCACTGGCTCATCCACCAGATTATTATAAATTTTGACTACACGCACTAGATGGAACTTGGGATCCTTATTTAGGCCTCGTTATTGTCTTGCCCCACTCCCTACCTCAACAAGCTTCTGCCTGCCAACACTTTTTTGTTTTACGAGGCTTAAATAAAAGAGGCAGCTTTCTGAAGTCTTCTCCTAACTATGAGCACCCTGAACCTCAAGCACAGAACTACTGATTTTTTACTTAATTGGGTGTAGAAGACTGCAGGCTGGGAATCAAACTTTCAAATACAGGTGATTAAAATAATCTTATCCATCCCATGATTTTTTCATGAGGGCCTTCTGGTAAAACTGTAAGACTGGCAGTTGTGAGTCCAACTCCAACATCCGCACATCGAATTAAGCTCTTCCAAGCATAGGGGCAGTTGCAATGGTTAGAACCATTCAGGAGCCAGTGGGGGGGGGGGGGGGGCAGGGCAATGCATCGAAAGGGCAATGGAAGTTATGGAAGGCCTTTGTTCCTGCAGTGTACGCTAAAGCTGTTAGAACCCAGGGGCTCAGGGACGAGTTGCTTCATGCTGATTCCTTCTCCCTCATGCAGCCATGGGAAGTTCATAACTTTTCTGGTTTTGCAAGAGGGAATGGGGCAAACCACCTGCTGTACGG